ATTCAATTTTTAAATGCCACATCTTCTGATCTTCCTATTTCAACTATAACAGAAAAATCTTAGCTTCTGAAGCCATTTTTAAGTCTTCCTGAATGAAAGGAACCCAACAGACAAGTTAATTAAGCAGAAAACCCTCAAATTTAAATAACACCTATAAATATTCTTTTTTCAACAGACTCCATGACAAACATGAGAGAACTTTTTCTAAAAAAAATTCAAAATACTTTGAGAAGAATTTCCTAAAAATAACTTTCTTCAGAACTCGCTGCAGTTTTTATATACAGGGTGTCCCAAAAAAATGTATACACTTTAACAACCGATAGCTCAATTTTGAAAATGAAACGTATTTTAATAAACACTGCCTTTATAATTATTCAAAGTGTGTGTATGCATTTTTTGGGACGTCCTATATATGTAATATATATGCACACTGCATATGCATATATATATATATATGCAATTTAGATAGTTATGCATATATATAGTATGCAGTTTAGATAGCTAGCTATACATAGATCTATATCTATCCTCACCCCACCCATGTAGATGCAGAATAAGTGTCTCTAAAAGAAACTCATATGGATAGAGATGAAGTATTTAAAAAATCACTTTGAATACCAGTTTCACTTTCATTACAACTTTCATTAAATAACTTAGCTATAAATGCTTCTATAGTGAGTACTCCAAAATGATAGCCTCTAAATTCTTTTTACCAAAACAAACTGTATTATACATATAAACAAAACCAGGAATTAAGAATTTCATAAAATGTCTGAGCCTGTAATAAAATCATATCATGGTCCTGACATTTCCGTCTCTGAGCAGAATGGCTAAATCTTCAACTAATGCTGTAATAAATCAGAGTCTATAATCTCCTTTTCTTCAGCCTGGGTTGGCTTCCAACACTAACCAGTAGAGGTAGAGGCTACACTTGAGTAAAAATGCAAATACATACAGATTTATACACAGGGGCAATTTTGCTCCCCAGGGACATTTGGCAATATCTGGAGACATTTTTAGCCTGTCACAACTGGGGGGAGAGAGGGAGAAGTGAGTGCCACTGGCATCTAGCGAGTGGAGGCAGAAATGCTCTGACTGCTTGACATCCTCCAGGGCCCCGGACAGCCCCCACAACAAAGAATTCTCCAGCCCCAAATGTCACTAATGCCTCTCCTGGGCAACTCTGATATGTACAAATATAACCATTTTTATTTAACAGTAAATACTTCAAATGTTAAGTGTGGTTCTCTCAGTAGGATTATGAACAATTTCTATTGTTCATTTTATCTTTCTGTATGTTCCAAACCTTCCACAATACCGATCTGTTATTTATAATCAGGCAGAAACTCCACTTGGGAATAAACTTTTAAGAGGGCAGACCATTTGCTCCCCATCCTGCTGGGGCTTTTTCTCAAAGGACTGGTCTTATTCAGCCTGCTGGCCTTAGGGAAGGTCCAGGAAAATTTTCCTCTAAAAATCACCTCTCCGCCATGAAGCTGTTATTCATTAGCCCTGGTTAAAACGAATATTCTAAATATCTCAAAACCAGCCCTCTAAATGTTTCACAGAGGAAAGAGAAAACTGAAATGTAAAACTGCGCAGCCTCTCCAGTGAAGCTATAGCTAGACATCCTGTTTTTCTCAACAGCCACAAGAGACAGCACAGAATTAAGTGCTGCCACCAATGTGGCAGTAATGAACATCTTATACATTACGGCACTCAAACTGAATACTCCCTTATAACTCAGACCACTTCTCCGCAGAGGGAGAATGCATTTGGGGTCCTTACATTACTGTTGATGCTAAAAAACAGTCAACGATATTATATTTAAATGTGTACATCTGCAATGAGAATTTCTCCTAAAAGTTAAACCTTGAATACAAAAGCTTTGCAGTGCTGTCTACTGCAGCAGTAAACCCTGTATGATGCCACAGATTCCAATAAAATGTTAGTAATTATTTTTCCAAATGCTATCATTATATCATAGCGGGGCGGGGGACCCAAACAGGAAATACAAGTTCTTAAGAGAGTGTATTCTAACACGAATTAAAGGCACTGGGAAAAAATCCAAGGTTACAATTCTTTAAAGTCACATCTTCATCCCAGAGCTACTTAACGCTAATGGCAAGTACCACTCACTCACATTTCTGAAATCAATGTTCTGTTGACCTCAGGCACACAGCACCAGCTCACTCAGAGAACAGGGCACATGTCCCTTGCCCACCCAGGACCACAGCTGGGCCAGGGGCCCGCCCTTCCCCTCCGTCCAGCAGGCCCGGCCCTGCTGAGGTGGCCTCAGCTCCCACCTCCTGAACTTGGGGCAGGCGTGACTCACGCCCTGTCACATGGCGAGGGAGGAGGCTGGGAAGGCCACCGTTGCCAGGTGTTCAGGCTTCGCCCGACCGTTTATTTGCCTTGCAAAGTGGCCCCAGCGCCGGTGGCACTGGGGGGCCGGAGGCCTCCCGGCCTCTCCACGATCGCACACCCACCCCGGGCCCCGTCACCTGAGAGTCCTCACCTGAGTGGGCAACAGGAGTTCCCCTTCTTCTGCCTGCCACAGCTCCACCACGTTGGGCAAGGGCTCAATCGCTGCACGAACCAAAAAACACAGCGCGTTTTTAATGCACGGAAAGAAACGCTTCCTGTTTCCCTATCGTCCCCTATGCACCCGCCTCACCAAAACAAGTCTCCTTCTCCTTCTAACAGCGGAGGCCACCCGAGGAGGGAGCCGAGGACACAAACACAATGGACGGGGTGTGAGCCGGCGGCCGCTGTGACAGAGAAGCGAGGGCGTGCGCGGTCGGAGGGTCTGGTGTCGGGGGACTGACCGGCGGAGGCCACCCCGCGGGTCGCTCTGCGCTCGCATCCCGCAGCATCTGGGGCGGGCATCTGCAGGACGGGTCCGGGCGGCCAGGCTCGGGGAACAAAGCTGCAGGAAGCCGGGCCGCGCCGGGGCCCTAGCGCGCGCCACACAAAGCGGGGGCTGCGCGGGGGTACAGGGGGGCCACGCACAAAGGCTCCGGGGCACGCGCGGCTAGCGGTCCGCGCCGCGGTCCCCGAGCCCCGCGACTTCCCAGCTTTCTGTTTGCATGGGGGCGGGGGACGGGGCGAGGACCCTGCGGTTAGAAAATGTTATCAGCCTAGAACTGTAACCGCTTTCCTTCCTCCTCCTGCCCCTTTCCCTTTCCTCCCCTCGCCCTCTAATAGATTTCAGCAGTTCCCTAAAAGAAAGAGAAGGGGGGGCAGGGTGGAGAGGAAAAGCCAGCGGAGCGGCGCAAGGCTGACCTTGTCCCTGAGCCCCTCCCGGGCGACAGCAGGGCAGGAGGACCTGGAAGACGCCCAGCAGGAGGTTCACGGCCGCGGCGGTGCGGCAGTAGCAGCCCGGCTGCGGGCGTCGGAGCC